TTTCAAGATGCGTTTGACGATATTCCCTTTCCAAGCATACCTCTTCTGGAAGGATTACCAACAACCAAGACATTCCCTCATCCAACAACATCCAGAAAGAATAAAGAAGAGGCTGATACATGTTAAAGGTGACCTTTGAGAGGAGATTCAACTTCTCAATCTCATAGAGGTTTTGAACAAAGGATAAATCCTCTATCGATACAATAACAACAAAAATTTCCTCAAGAGTGAGAGCAATTGGGTAGAGGAGGATGACACACATGCACAAGAAGGGAGTCAATGTTCCTAGAGAAGCATTCTCTATCAGACAAGATCATTTTGAAGTACACTCTTTTGGAAGGGAAGTCCGACCTTTGTCCCGACCCTTCTTTTTTGAGATGGGGGATGAGGGTGTATCCTTCACAATCAAAATGGCTACAATGTTGACAAGCTGGTTGACCCCGAGGGAAGCGTAAAAAGCCTCAGTGGACAGGCCAGGAGCCACAATCATCAAAAGAAGCATCATAGCTTGACTAGTAGGACCAATCTTGATCCTAAAAACATTCGAGAGGTCGTAGATCATCTTCAATTGATCCATGTTATCTGCATAATGGAACCACACATGTTACATCGATAAAAATATTATAAAACTCTGCCTTCACCAAAAATATATTTCTTTCCACATGGTCAACCGCACTCACGATGGCAAGAGTATCAGTTTTCTTGTTCCTAACCTTGAAAGAAGGAACTTTAACGATGCCAAACCTTTCTTCATGACTCAGTCCTTGAAACTAGAGGTGTAGGTCGTCGTTCAGACTAAGGGGCTTCACCAATAAGAAACATCTCAGGAAATCGCCTCAATTGTGAGTGGAAAGGTCGAACTAAGGATCGCTCGGGTGGAAACTAATGAGCCATTGGTCACGGGATCGTCCTGATAAGTGTGTACCATGTAGAACATGTCAAAGAACAATTTGACGGAAGGCTACCAAGACTCATGCTCATTGCAAAAATGGAATGCCCACATGTAAGACCAAGCCCCTAGATAAATTTGGGAAGGGACAACCTTCAAGTGCTTCAAGATTGCCACCTCAAAGTCAGAGAAGGGAAAAAAATTCATATCCAAGTAAATAGGCAATTGTAAAGCGGGACTGAGAAATTGTTAAAAGAGCTCCATATTCTCTTCTCTAGACCCACGTGAAGAACCGACCATCCAGGTGGTTGCCGACCATAATGTCAGCAATATCTATTGTCGTTTAAGCATTTAGAATGAATGAAATCCCCACTACTTCTGCATCCACCCAACCATAATTCACTGCATCAACCACTCCACTAACGTCACGCCTCTTCAAACCCGTTCTTCAACCTTAAAGTGTTCACCAGGCTTGATAAAGAAACTGATTTAGGCTTTCCCCAATAGTCTAAATGAGTTCTAATATCAGCATCGATAGGTTCAAAATTATTCGTTCTCGATAAAACTTGACGAAATCGTCAACATGTTCTCTTCTCGACTTTGCAGCCTCTATCTCCGATTCAGTCAAAATAGTGGGGGCATAGGAACCTTAATGTGATAATTTTTTCCACCGTCATCTGATAGAAGAGCCTTGAAAGACTCAATTGAAGAAGCTCCCTCATCAAGGGAAATCTCAAATACGCTCTCCGAATCAGAATCTCTAGTCAGATATATGAATTCATGGTCCAGACGATCACGAGCAAGTGGAGGTAAATGAGAATCAGGGGATACCCCATTCTCACAGAAGAAGAAACATTGCTCTCAGATCACTTACTATGTTAACATTATTATCACTCATCCGAGATAGAAAACAGGAAATCTTGGACATAAAAGCTTGAGTTGAGGAGGGTATATGGTTATATAAGATTGATGAAGCAAATTAAATGAAGAAAGGTAAAGACTTTGATCAAGGAAATACAATCTCCTTGGAAAATGATCTCAGGAAGGAAAGTACGAAGGAATTTACTATTAAAAGAGAATGTGAATGAACTTGAATGCCAATGATAGTGAAATGGTTCCTCAATGTACAACTCATCCTATTTATAAGCAAAATTGGTTGGACGACCTAGCTCAGCAAGGAAAAAGAGTTAAATAATCAACGATTGGGTTTCTCTTTGAAAAAATAAGCAAACTCAAGTGCACTATAAGCAACACCATGATGTAGCTAGTCGCGTCAACCTACATGTCAGAAAGAAGCAGCAAAATAGAAGAATGGTGGAAATGCATTTAATGCGCTTGCTCCTTATTACTGTTTCAATTGACTCCAAGCGTTTCATTTCTAGTTCGTCTAACATAAATCTTAGAGGTCAACCTCAACAGCTAAAGGCTTCCTCGGCTTTGTGAGTGCCCGACAAGCCTTGGGGAAAATTTTTTGGATCGGCTAAGGGCCCAATTCAACTCAAATCATTTCCACTTGACCCAAACTATTAATTTTTTTCACATGGAAAACAAGGTACATTCTTCTGATTTCTACTTTTTACTACACTCATCTTGGATCTTGAACTGACTTGGACATTAGAGTACTAATCTTGCAGGTCGATCCTCGTACCAATGTATCAAAGATTAACACTACTTGTTCGGAATCTTCAGTTCATCAATTGCATTCAATCTTGGTTTTATAACAGAACACACACACACACACACACACACACACACACACACACACACAAACACACACACACACACACACACACACACACACACACACACACACACACACACACACACGCACGCACACCCGCCACACCACGCAACACACACACATATGACAAAGTTAGACAAAGATGTAAATAAAAACCTAACTCCGACAAAGAATGGGTGCAAGACATGTAATAACTACCTTTGTCGAGGACAGGGTGGAGGATACAAAATTTGCTCCCAACTTATTCTCTCTTACAAAATCTAAATCCAGATTGAAGTCTTGAGACTTTGCTTTCAAACATCACCTAGAACATAATTTCATTTTTTTTTAAATCTTGGTATATGACCTTGCGACCGACTAATTCAAGAAGACTTATCTCACCATCCATTAACGGGGGTCTCGTTTAAAGTCAGAGTAAAGTTCTGTATGGACTGTCCCAATATAAGAATTATGGGAAACAAGAAATCTTGAAAATAAAAGATTGATTTGAAGAGGGTATCTGGTTATATAAGATTGATGAAGCGAAGTAAATGAAGAAAGGTAAATAATTTCATCAAAGAACTACAATCTCCCTAGAAAATGATGTCAGGAAGGAAAGTACAAAAGAGTTTACTATTATAAAAGAATGTGAATGAACTAGAATGCCAAGGATGGTGAAAAGGTTCCTCAATGTTCAACTCGTCCTATTTATAGGAAAAACTTGTTGGACGACCTAACTATAAAAAAAGAGTTACATAATCAACGACTGGGTTTCTCTTTCGAAATATAAGCAAACTTAAGTGCACATGAGTACACTATAAGCAACAACATGCTATAGCTAGTCGCGTCAACCGACGTGTCAAAAGGAAGTAGCAAAACGTTACATTGACGGAAATGCATTTAATGCACTTGCTCTTCACTACTTTCTCAATTGACTCCAAGCGTTTCATTTCTAGTTTGCATCGAACATCATTCTTAGAGGTCAACCTCAATCGCTAAAGGCTTCCTCGGCTTCGTGAATAACCGACAAGCCTTGGGGCAACTTTTCTGGATCAGCCAAGAGGCAAATTCAACTCAAATCCACTCCAATTGACCCAAACTATAAAGTTTTTCACATGGTAAACAAGATACATTCTTCTGATCTCCACGTTATACTACACTCATCTTGGATCTTGAACTGGCTTTGACGTTGAAGTGTTAATCTTGCAGGTCCACCCATGCACTAATGTATCAAAGATCAACAGTACTTGTTCAGAATCCTCAGTTCATCAATTGCACCCAATCCTGATTCCATAACAAACACACACACACACACACACACACAAATATGACAAATTTAGACAAATATGTGAATCAAAATCCAACTCCGACAAAGAATGGATGCAGGACATGTAAACGCGACCTTTGTCGAGGACGGGGTAGAGGAGGCAAAATCTACCCCAACACGTTCTCTTACAAAATCTAAATCCAAATTGAAGTCTGAAGACTTTGCATTCAAACATCATCTAGAATATATTTTCATTTTTTTAAAATCTTGATATATGACCTTTCGACTGACTAATTCAAGAGGATTAATTTCACTGTCCATTAGCGAGAGTCTTGTTTAAAGCCATAACAAAACTCTATATAGACTGTCTCAATATAAAAATTGATAGTATTTTGTAGGATTCGAACTCTAAATTTTAAGAGAAGAAAACTCTCATTTTATTAAAAATATAAAATATAGATGCTTTTTTTTTTTTAATTATCCAAAATTTTATTTTTTCATGATAACCAGATACGCACCAACCAAACCACTTATAATATTTTGTTAAACACATTTGATTTGAAATGGAGGCCGATAATAATGAAAAGAATGATTATATGAATCGTCTCGTATGACACAAGAAACTCCTAATCAATTTTAAATAGCACCCTAATCATGGATATTCAATAATTCAATAATTGTTTATACAATTTAAATAATCACCCGGTGGTTTTGCTTCGTATAACACAGCTGAAACAGAAAGATGTAAATACTATTTCAACAAAAAATCAAAACCAGGTTTAGTTTCTTATCCCGTCATCATCATGGAGCATGGTCCTTCTGCTACTCCTAAGGGTTGATAAATTTCTTCACATATTTATCCGTTTTGGTCAATGATGTTATTCAAAATCTAAACATCTTCACTTATCTTCCTTATTACTGTGTTCCACTATTTGGTGTTTGACTTATTATGGAGGCAAAACAGATCTTACTTTGATTACGGATAGAATAGAAACCAGATTGAATGACCATGTTTTTCTCTTTATTGTTTCATACTTTATTTGTTCTTATACTTGTTTATTATTATAATGATTCCTTTTGTTGGTTTTGTTTCTATAGTTAAAAAAAAAATGATTGACTGATAAATGATAATAGCTGCAGAAGATAGAGATAACAAGTTCCTAACAAAAGCTGTTGAAGAAGCATACAAAGGTGTTGAATGTGGTGATGGACGCCCATTTGGTGCAGTCATTGTTCAAAATGATGAACTTGTTGTTAGCTGTCATAACATGGTTTTAAGAAACAAAGATCCTACTGCTCATGCTGAGGTTATCGCTATAAGAGAGGTCAAATTAATTTTCATCTTATTTTTGTTCTGTTTGTGTCTATGTCAGTGTCCGTGTTGTGTCTGGTGTCAGGGCTTCATAGAATCTATATAATTGAAAGATATTATCTGCAGGCTTGTCAAAAGCTGGATCAAATTTCCCTTGCTGACTGTGAGATCTTTGCGTCTTGTGAGCCGTGTCCAATGTGCTTTGCTGCCATTCATTTTTCAAAAATTAAGGCAGGCCTTTTCAACCCCTTTCATTTTCTCTTCACATTACACGTTTCTCTAACCTCTTTTAAATTGATCTCAAATTTGTTCATTCTCATCAAGCAGAGATTGGTTTACGGAGCCAAAGCAGAAGCTGCGGTAGCTATCGGATTTGATAGTTTTATTGCGGATGCACAGAAGGATACTAGTTCTCCTCAGAAGCCTCAGTTGGAGATCAAGAAGATAGATGGTACTGCTGCTGTAATTGCGGAACAAGTATTTGAGAAGACAAAGGGCAAGTATGCTCTCTACTGATTGCGATAAAGAGGCATTTGCTATTACTATTTCTTTGGCATTACAAAATGATCAATAATATGTTTTTGATTCATGTAATATATGATACAAAATATTGCACAATTTGGAACTACTCTACTCTTTTTTCTCGCAACTGATCGAAATTCGAAACCTATGTATTGAAGAAATCACAAGGTGTTTGTGCACATTTTAGAAGAGTAAAACCTCAGTCAACCTAAGCTAGACCTTAAATCCTCCAACCTAGCCTTGATCCGACCCTGCAACAACTCCAACCGATTCAAATACACTTCTAGCTCCAAAATCCTCCGTTTTAACCATTGTTCATCCCTCGCTTCCTTGGTCGATAACAACATTGGCAACACGTCGAGTGGCTCTACCGGAGCATCATCCAATAGTTCCTTCAGCAATGGTGAGAAACAGGACCTCATAGTTTCCTCAATAAATCCATGTATACTACTAGTAGCATCACCATTGTCTGCTGCGAGCCTCGCACGCTTATGCGCCCTTTCTTCACAATTGTCAACATGGTCAGTCTTCATCTTAATGTTGTCAATAAGATCAGGACTATCAGGAACTGGCCTTGATTCATCAACTTCCAAAACATCATGGTGTGTGTCATTGCCCCAAATCTTGTGGGAAATTTCAAAAACGGCTTGTTCATGGGGGCTCTTGGAAGAAACCTGAACCTCTTTGCATTTGTCCAAAACCATCTTGTGTTTTCTTTTTAACCTACGTAGCTTCTCAACAATCTGGTTTCTGCTAAAATCCGCGCTGAATTTTGGCTTAACTTGATCACAGAACGAAGCTACGTGGCTTTGAAGAGTGGTGGTTGTTCTTCCTTGTTGCTTGATGTAATCCAGATATCCCGTCAACAGTTCTATCTCATCTTGCTTTGTCCATATTCTCTGATATTGTCTCACCATACCAGAATACTTGTTCTGTTGTAGTTTCGAGCGTGTTTCTTTAGCAGCGGTGGAAGTGTTTGTGTAATCCGTAGGGGCAGGCAAGGCAACCGTCACAGCGGGGGAGGCATCAGAAATGGCAAGTCCAATGGGAATGGTGTCATCATCCACATCGTCCATTTGGTCTTCAACATTGTTGTTTTGAAAGTTTTCGGAGTCTGATTCGTCATTGCTAATGTTAAGATTTTCGTGTTCGTCGTCTTCTTCTTCAGATGATGATGAGGAAGAGGAAGATGAGGTTGACAAAATCCAAGAAAACAATGGTGAAAACATGGTGGAGGAGAGGACATACTTTCCCTTTTCGACATATTAGAATATTGAACAAACCGTTTGTTCGTTGATGGTAGCTATGCATTTACTATTATTAGAATGCTTATGGATGATTTCCACAATTATAAATGGATAAAGAGCTTAATTGGTCCGATAATAAGGGTCTTTGATTTTAGGTAGTCTTTGTTTTTTTAAAAATCTGTTGGTAAAAGAATATGACATCTATGAGATAGGTATTCAATCCATATAACTCTTTTTCCACGTTTAGTGTTTAATTGTGATTTCAACTAGAATACATCCCGTTGAGAGAGCATATAAGAAACCAAAGAAAATGTCTAAAGTCAATTTGGAACCATATAAAAGACAATACTCAATCTAGTCCTTATTATAAGAAAAAAAATTCATTTTTTTATATACGTTAAATAATCAATATATTTAGATTATAGATGGAGCAAATATATTATTCAATAATAAAGATCATAAAGATCATAATTAAAATTTTGATATTCAATCCGTAGGTAACATAAATCTATGAACCTTCTTACAAGGACCTTAGTATAAAGGTGGAAATTTGAATATCTATAAGTTAACAGGTTGAATCTTTCAATCTTTCAACAAGTCCAACTTTAATGAATTGAGGAAAAGACTAGACCAAATAAAGTGAGAATGGTTAGAAGAACTTGTTTGAATTCTATGTGTGTGTCAAGGTTTAGACAACTTGATCTGACTCAATCGAAACTGATCAATTCCAAATAAAAAAATGATTACTGGGTTAAAGTTATGGGTGGTAAAGCGGATGGCCTGTCCCGTTTAGACCCACTCCATTTGAGCTCGTTCAAAAGCGGAGCGGAGCGGGGCAAGTCAACTTAGGTGTCCGAGCTCAAAAGTCAAACTCGTCCTGTCTACTAACGAGTTGACGGGTTAGTGGGTCGGTCTGCCAATTTTTCTTACAACTTGATTTACTACATAATTTATAAAATTCTTAATCATTACTAGAGTGACCGGCAAATTTTAACAACGCATAGTAAAACTTTAACAAATTTTAATAGAAATGTCATATTCTTCAATATAAAAAAAAATATAACTATAATACCAAAACACATAAAACAAACATACTAAAATATCAAAATAATTCTTTTGGTTCAAAAAAACCACAAGCACAATCTAGTTAAGGATATCTAGGGATATAAATTAAGAAAACAGACTAGCACAAGCTAAATAAAGACAACTAAGAACCAATAACAAAAAGACTAATATTAAATACTCCATGACAAACATTTCATCAATAATCATCTATGTCGTGAACATACAAAGCTTCGAATGATATCGTAGCCATTGGATGAAACATTTCATCATCTCTCTCCTTGTCGTCGCCTACTATTTAATAATCTTCAAGATCAACATCAAATCAATAGATTTATCAATGGAAGCATCTTAAAAATAAAAGAATCCAAGAAAAATTAAAGCTTCATTATTTAAAAATTTTCAATACAAATAATAAGCACTTAGTTGAGCATTTTAGTGTCAAAAATAAATAAAATGAGAACTCAAATAGAATAAAATACAAATAAAAATTTTATTATCATAATGAGAAACAAACCCCTCTGTGCAAAACTTACCTTATAGCTTTAGAACCTGACTCAAATGACAACGAGTAATAGAAAATAGAAAAGAATGTATTCTCTATGTTTTGCAATAAAGACTTTTACTACTATGAGTGAAAATAAATAAAGAAGCAGAGACAAATTAATATTTCAAAATGAGGTGTTTGTAGTTATATGAAAAATGAACATTAGGGTTTGAAGAAATGATGGTTATTTTAAAAGTATGTCTAATACATACCACGTTAATATTGTTTTAATTCCAAGTAAAAAAAACCGCATTCGGCCCGTTTTAAAAGTGGGTTATGCGGGGTGCGTCAACTTAAGACACCGAGCCAAAAACCTCGCCCCGACCCGCCAAAAATGGTGGTTTAAACGCGCGGACCCGAAGGGGCTAACCCATTTTGCCACCCCTAGTTAAAGTAGGTTGATTACACTGGTAATAAAAATGGGTTTGTTTGAGTTCAAGTGAGTGAAGTCGAATTTGAGATCCTAGCCCATCAGAACCCAAATCCGACCGAACCCAATTCTAACTTTTTTACCCACTTGTACTTCAGCATTTTTTATATCAATTAAGAGAGCATTTAACTTGTCACCCCCCTAAATTAAATAGTGGGGTTATTACCTTTATATCCTTATATTTTTTTTTTGAATTTTCTATTGTGTTTATCGAAAATTTTAAAAAAATAACGGAAAATTTTAAAATTTCTAGTAAAAAATGAATATATTCGGAAAAAAATTTGAAGAAATATCGGGATTTTAAAAAAAAAAATCAAAATTTTCGATTTTTTTATACTATCGAAAATTTCAAAATTTTCAGTAAACTACAACACTTTTCAAAATGAACTACCAGAAATTTGGAATGAACTATCGAAAATTCCGTTCGTATTTTTTACTCAAAATTTTCCATGGGCAGTTTGAAAATTATGAAAATACGTAAGGGTACCAGATTTAATTGAGATGGTGGTAAGTTAAATGCTTCAATTAAAAGTGAGAAATAAGTTGGTCCAACTCCATTATGAACTTGAGTCATTCAATACATAACCTAAAATACGTAACACATTGTCTTTCACACTTCCACGTAAGAAATAAACCCTAATTCCTTGTGTGCCGTCGTGCCTCTATATTCCACTCTTTCTTCATTTCGAATGAAATACAAAGCAAAAACTCAAAATTCCAGTCCATCATATGATCACAATTGATTTCTATAAACCTATTCATTTTCTATTTTACTGGTTTTATTTTGATACAACTTTTATTTTATGCAATATAACATCACTAAGAAACTCGTTTTTGAAAAGGTATATATGGTTTTCATTTTTTTGAATTTTTGTCTGATTTCGAATTTGGTTTCTATATTAGAGTTCTTACTTTTTCTTGTTTTTTTAAGATGGTTTTGGTAATCCTTATGGATCTGATGAACTCGAATTATGTTTCACTTCATTTTACTGTTATTACAGTAGAAACTCTTTAAATTAATAATGTCAGGACTAGAGAAATTTATTAATTTATAGAGTTATTAATTTATCGATAAACTAATAATTATTAATTTAAAGAGTTTTTAAGTAATTATACTGTACATACCAAACAAAAAGGCAAATTAGTCTATGCCTCTTAGAATTAAGTTGCAGCGAACCTTGAGACTCAACGTAAATTAGTAACTACTGTGTTCATACGCATTGGAAATCAATAATGACTTTTGAAATACAGTAAATGTACACAAGAGGAACAAATGTGCTCTAAATAGACTTGAACTTTAAAGAAAAACAAACAACTATTGAATCATATTTCAATAGAGTGCAATATATTTTTTTTTTCAGTTTCTATGAATTATTAATTTATGATTTTCTTGGGACCGAAAATTATAAAGGGATCTCCCGAAAAATTATTATCTTATTATTTTATCGAGTTTTACAATTTTTTATATTGACCCAAATCAGGACCGGACAAATTTATTATTTTAGAGAGTTTATTAATTTATCGAGTATTAATTTAAAGAATTTTTACTGTATGTGGTTTCATTTCTCTTTTATGTTTACAACAAGAAACTTTTATAGTTTGGTGACATGTTTGAAGAATTGAATTGTTCTTATTTAAAAAGGTAAACTTATACATTAATTTGTTTTCGTTGTTAATTTTTGAATTTTATGTATATTCTTTTGTTGTT